ACTTTCGGCCACTGGTTAAGACTTCCGTGTTGATATAGCACCAGCCCATTGCGCTGGATGCTCATGTCAATGAGCTCAGTAGTCTAAAGAAGTGGCCTTCGTCACCCCCATTTGAGGGGTCCCATGACACTGAGGTGCGTTGATGAGCTTCTCTGCCACTGTCAAATTCCTGAGCCTCGTCTTGGCGCCATTCATCAAGATTCAAGGCGTTCTGCTGCATGGGCCGGCACACTCAAGTCTCAGGTGCTTGAACTTGAAGCAGAGCTCTGTGGACCATATCCTCTCATACTGTGCCACAAATTGGTTACAACTTATTGACTCAAATGCAGAGGCTCGACGCTCTGGGCTCCCTCTGGGCTACGGTAATATGCCCTTGAAGATGGATACTCTTACCCTGCCTACCTATCATTGGCATCAGCATACCGTATCCAGGACGCCAGTCATGAGGGTCTTGACTCTTGTGGCAAACAATCTCGAAAGTACACCTTGTAAATGGTGCTGCTACCGTATGTGAGTATAGGTAGGTGGGATATCAATGCAGAAACACTGTATAAGAAGGATGTATACGACGTGCACGGCCTTGCAGCACCTATCCGCTGTCCGGTATCGGTGCTTTAATATATATGTCATATTTTGGCGCGACCTGACGAGCTGAACCAAGAATGAGGGAGGAATCCATCTGACATTGATAGGGCGGTCACATATAAACATTTTCGGGGTGCACCGTCCCTCAGGGACCGAATTCTTGTCCCTCAGGGACCGAAAACCGGTGATTTCGTCCCCCAGAATTTCAACTCGATATTCTGGGGGACGGTACGCCCCTCAGGGACGCCGGTAAAAATTTTAAGGGACGGTCGGCGGTCACTCCTCGGACAGTATGCCGCGCCGGAGAATTCGGGAAGCTTTAGCTTTTCGCGCAAAGTGTCCCTGAGGGAAATATGACCAAAGCAGATTCTCGGGGAGCATGCGCTCCCTCGGGGAACACTCGCCACTTCCCGAGAACTCATATGTGACCGCCCTATGAGACTCAGAGACGAGCCGTGTTGACTCTGCTCGGAGCTGGGCAGTGGGTAGACAGGCGCATGGACACAGCGCAAGTTCACTTCCAACATCAAGGTCCACAATTCAGCAGCTGAAGGGCTCACACAAGGAATTCTAGGATTGCATTGGAAGTGAGCAGACGGTGTGAAAACGCGAGGGCGAGGTATGCGTTTCATACAACATATAGTGAAGATATCGTAGTTGAAGTTTTACTGACAAGCTTTTGCCGTCGCTTCTAAGAGAAGTCGTCCATTAGCCTTCTTCGATTGCAAGAATCTTGCTTAGTGACTGCTCAAACAAAAGGCTTAGCAAAGATGGAAAGGAAGCCTTCATGAAGCTGATTATCAGGTTGTAGCAACGTATGTGTGGCCGATATAACATTACCCTGCGGAGATTTTCAAGACAGATGGAAGAATGCAAGAATTGAGGAAAGCGGAACGGATTACTTCAACCAGAGCTTGGTGCGATCCAATAAAGCAGAAAGCTGTGTGGAAGCGTGGTAATCTGTTGATCTGGTGATCTGACAATGGTTTATGTATGAGAAGCACAAGACTTATCCATCCTAACTCTGCAGGTTGTGCACGGCCTTGGCTTTGAAGCTTTCAAGCATTGAGAAGAGGAGAACAACAAGACTAGACATGCAAAAAAGTAGCCGGTCGCTGCTTCGAAATGTATGCTTACCCATTCCAACGAGAGGGCAATGTCAAAGAGGTGAGTAGATTCTTGTCGCACACATTTTTCGGGCGAGCATTTTGTCCAGGCCTCCTTCCCCTCTTTCGTTTCTTCGCCGAGCACGAGCACGATCCACAATTTAACCATTTGCTCTTGCCTGTGCAGCAGCTTCAGTCGATGCTGAACACATCGGGGGGGGCCGGTCTTGATGTTGCAAATGCAGGGAGACCATTTGCTTCGCCTTATGCACCAGCACAGTCACAGGGTGCAAATTCAGGCCCCTTTCATCATGGAGGTACGTGAAGTTATGGTGGCATGACCATGCGTACTTACGAAACCCTTAGACACAAGTATCTGGAGCAACATCTCATATGCTGCCGGTAGTAGCAGCATCTTTTAAGTAGTAGTCTTTTGATATGGAGAGTTTTGAGAGATTTCTTACTTCAAATTCCTTCTTTTCCAGGGAACTTGCCTTCTCTCCACAATATCCAAGGGAGCTTCAATATGCAGAATATGCCGAGCGGACTGCCTTCTAGAAATCCAGGACTTCCATCTGCTGCTCAGCAGCAAGTGGGGGGCGGAATTGGGGGTCGTTTTGGGGGAGGGCAATTGCCTGGCACGTTACAACAGGTAAGCCTTGAAAAAATCTTTCGTGGCTGGTTAAGGCAGATTGAGAAAGGTCAGTTTATGGTTGGGATTAAGGCGTGCTGCTTGTTGTGGAAACTAGTAGAAGTTAGCAAGCAATGATCGAGGCCCAACTTTCATTCCTTGTCAGGATGCTCTGATCAGGATTCAGTTCAGACCTTATCACAAACCGTTCCTTGACAGATTCCGCACACTGGGATGCACGGGCACAATGCGCTGGCTAGCAGGACGGGGCTTGGCACGGGGGCGAATGCTTCGATGAACGGGTTAGGCAGAGGCCTGAATGTTGGGGCGCCGCAGTTAGGAGCCGGTTTAAACCGACTGGGTGCTCCTGGCAGTAGCGTATCTGGGGGAGCTCTCAATGTTGGGGCTAGCAACACGGTTGGGGGTGGTGTGGGGCTGAATCGAACAATAGCCAATGCGGGCCTCAATGCACCGGGTTTAACAGGAAGCAGAAGTGCTAGCAGCAGTGGCCCGAGTCTTCCGAGCGGAGCAGCAATCCAGGCGCCAGGTCGGCCAGCCGCCCCGGGGACCTCTGTGCTGCAACAGAACGCTCCGTCCTCCTCGTTCAATTCATCGGACAGTCTTCTCGCAATGATCAACCGAGGTACGCTCTGGATGTCCTTGGTTGACTGAGACGCTTTTGGCTTCTGTGGCCAGACAAAATTTTGGGTGAGATGCTTTTGCCTTCCGCGATACACGAGGACTTGGGCTTCGTTAGTTAGACCGTGAAAGGTGCAGGCATGTGAACTTCTGAGAACACTTCTCAACAGATCACAGTCAGGCTTTTTCCCTGTGCTAACACCTGATTCGCCTCGCAGGTATGCAAAGTCAAGCTCCATCTGCAAACGGGCAGCTAAGCAATCTGGCAAAGGAGGAAAGGGGCGGGGAAAGTATTGCTTTTGACTTGGATGACTTCCCGTCCCTGAGCACGCGACCAACTTCAGGCGGGTCTGGAGCTCTGCAGGGTGTGGCAGGTAGGCTGAACATGCCTAGTTCCTGAAAAGCTTCTGGAAATTGTGAGCCTCAAGGTTGCCATAGGCTGACAAAAGGATATATCAACGTCACTGTTGCCGTCAGTTGATGCTTATGAAAGCACTGCATGCTAGACTCGGTGTTCCATCAAAATGAACTGCGGTCTGCTGATACCACTTTCTTACTGCTTCTGAGACTGAGCCTTGTGTATGCCAGGCGCTCTACGAAAGGCTGCTGCGGCCAATGTAATACAGCAGCACCAGGAGTTCAGTATACAAAATGAAGACTTTCCTGCACTCCCAGGATTCAAAGGTGAGTCTTTTCTTGAAAAGGAACAAATGTGGTGCATTTGGTCGTGCCCTTGCATGGGACACGAGAGCAAAGTCTCACCTTTCACCTTTTTTGTTGGGAAAGCTGCTCGTAAGTCGAGCCTTCGAGAGGAGTCAAGAGGTCTCTTACTGCCTATTTTGTGCACTAGTCAAGCAGGCGGCAGGCTTCACTGCATTCTTGATCTTTTGCAGCTGGAGGCGAGATTGGAAGTGAGCTGCACCATAAAGAACATCAGCATGACAACCTCGTGCAGAATCAACATTTTGGGGTAGGTTCTCTTCCAAGCGAGTCTTGCCTGTCGACCCTGAGCACAGTTGGACTGCAGAGTTGCGTACGCTTCACCTCTTCCGCCATTCTTTCGGACTGTTCCTGACTGAAAGGTAAGAAATGCCAGGTTCTGGTAGGTCATAGGATTGGTTGGAATCGGTTTTGATTCTGTTTCTTCTGACATACAGCTGGGGAGGTCCGGAGGCTTTCCGCTCGGGACAAGCTACCTGCACCAACAGCAGCAACAACAGGTGAGACAACCTCGCAAGCCTGTACATGCTCCGCGATGAGATTCCCTTGACCCGGAGCTTCTGCTATGAAAGTTGGCGCCGACGAGAGCGCTGATCAGTCGAGAAAGGGCACCTTCTGCTTGTTCCGCAGCACTCTGAGTTTTCTTGCGCTGTTCTTGTCTCTTTCAGGGGGGAGGCTTAGGCGGAGTTTCAAGACCTGGAGGAGCAGGGTTGTCACAGTACGATCAATTAGTCTCTCAGCATCATTTCCAGCAACAGCAAGCGCAGCTCAGGTCGGGTTTGAACCAGGAGGGAAGCGCGAAGGACGGGGGTCAGAAGTCCATACAGGGTTCCTCGGATCGATTTGGACTTCTAGGGCTCCTTAGTGTGATAAGGATGAGTGATCCGGACCTGACGACGCTGGCACTGGGAACGGACTTGACGACGCTGGGGCTGAACCTCAACTCGCGGGAGAACCTGTACAAGACCTTCGCTTCTCCTTGGGCCGATGGCCCAGTGCGGGGCGAGCCGGAGTTCACGCTGCCGGCTTGCTACGTGCAACCAGCACCACGATTGCAGGCAAGTTTTTTTCCATGAATCGTTCGCTGACCCATACATCGACCAGCAGTCTCCCCTAACCAATCTACACGAGGATGATCACCGGGCATCCTTTTTTTAGAGGACGGACTTAGTTCGTCGCAAAGTCGCCAGAGAGCTGTCAGTCTACAGGCAGACTTTGAAAGCCTGATCAGCTTTTGAGTAACCTTACCTGCAACTGTGGTTTGTATTACAGGCCATTGTTGACCCCGATGCACCTTTCGTATATGGGTTTTGCATGAGCGTTTTCAGAATGCAAGATGAAGACGGGGCCGTAGCTTCGGGATCGTCGGCTAATTCTGACCTGTGACACCTTTGATACTCGTTGTTGATGGTTCCGTTTCTGTGTGCAGCCGGGCTACTTCTCCAAGTTTCAGCAAGACACGCTATTCTACATATTCTATAGGTGGGTTGGTGCCTTCCTTATCTAGTTTCTGCCGTTATCGAAGAAGTCAGGAATGTGTCAGCCTCTTTCGTTGGCACCGTCGGCCATCCACTCAGGACAATCGCTCAGGCCGTTACACTACACGTGAGCTCGGATTCGCCGCCATCGCCCAATTCAGAACCTGTCTCGAGCGTCGTCAACTTGAGCCAGCAGGCACTGGGTTCAAAATCGTCAGAGTCGCGTCTCAGTAAACGACACCCTTGGCTGCCAGGACAAGCCAGTAACCCATGGTTGGATGGCACTTGTATATGGTGAACCAAGATAAGTCGAAGCAAGACAGCTCAGTTGCAAGCTCTTTGATCTGTTTGCAGCATGCCGCACGACGAAGCCCAACTATACGCTGCCGACGAACTGTGAGTACACGCGTTCGCTTCTGCATGTATATTTGTGATTATAGATGTTCTGACTGGATTCTGCAAATCATCTTTTTCCTTGGCTGTTACTCGGCTGAGTACGTCAGGGCTTCTTTGGCCTGTCTGTCCGGGATCAAGCGCACTATGTGAATCAAAAAGATACCATTAGGCGACAGCGAAAGGGCTTCTGCTTTCGGTCCAAACGGACTGTCTGCAGAAATTTACCAAGCTTTTGAGGATTTGGAGGTATGTGCGCATGCTTGCTACCTGTGTTCCGCGCAACACTTCATCGATCGAGTTTCCCTGCTTTGTCTGCGCTAATCTGGTCCCGTCCTTACTTTTTTCCAGATCGAATCGAGGCTGGTGGTTTCACAAGGACCTGCAAATGTGGCTCATGCGAGTACCGAACACCGAGACGGTTGTGAAAACGAGCACGTTTGAGAGGGGTTCGTACTACTTCTTCGATCCAACCGTATGGGAAACAACTCGAAAGGTATGCGCCCTTTCTGGCTCCTCTACTTGTAATGATGCCCTGATTTGCAAGACGGTTATGCGGAGACGGTTCTGGCTTGTCACCAGCCTGTAGCTCTTTGTGAAATAATGTCACTAGAGGTGGCTTGTACTCAATTGACTAGCATTTGTGCTTGGCATCAGGCAAGCGCTCCCTTGCATTGCTTCCTTCGGTTCCTCACTCGACTTCCATCTTTGGGTACAGGAAAACTTCGTGCTCCAGTACGAATTGCTGGAGGCAAGGCCGCAATTACCTGCTCAACGATAGTTGTCTGCAGAAACACTCTTGTGCTGTGCCTTCTGCAAGCTGTAAAAAGAGCCTAATGTTCCTTGGTCGATCCCGTGCCTGATGATCTGGCTCTGCGCTTACATTTGCTGTCATTTGTGACGGTGTGCCAGAGCTGTGTAAAATGACGTCCGCGTTTGTCCGATCAGGAATTCTACTTCGCAATGTCGATCATGTTAGTTCGCGGGCAGCACTAACTGTACCACATATGCATGACGTGCGCGCCTATACGTCGTGTGAGTGATCTTGCAGTTTGGAGTGCCCCCTTTGTTAAGATAGGCGCATGGAGATGAGCACGTCGCTGGCAAACAACTTAAGTATTCTGAAGAGGACTTCGCATATACCATTGATATGTCTGGCCCCAGGATGGTATGTATATTAAAGTATGCTCATGCAACGAATACTTGAGCACGATTGCAATGCCTCATGTGCATGTAGCCGATCTTGGTGCCGCGGCCGCGCGCCATATACGCACTGGCGCTTTGCATATAATATGCATGCCCGGGCGCGTCCGACCGGGTCCAATCATGTTCTCGTCACATTTGGAATATTGCACTTACTGTGAGGTGCATCCAATCCGCCCGCGCTTCAGCCTGACGGTGCATATATAAGCTGCTCGAAATAAGTCTTGGTTTGGAAACCTAGATCTACGCACATGCAGCTGGCATGTGTGCATATGTGCATCCAGTCTTTTATTATACGAGGTGACTGCCACGAAAAGTGCAGAAGTATAGCCTGACTGAACCGTACACCGGGCAGTAGGGTCTGCCAGCAGTCATCTCGTCATTCCCGTCCAATGCAACGTCAGCAATTGACGAGTAAACCATCGCGAAAGCCGCATGGTCGGCCGGCCGGCATTTCATAACGTTCCAAGCATGCTACAGCAACGTCAGAGGTCCGCCTCACAATACAATGCACAATCCGCAGAAAAGACGGTTCGTAGTCAATGATCCGCGCGACTTGTGGTGAGAAAGTGACGATAGTCCGGCTTCTAGCTCACTGCTGAGTTTCGGCAACATGCAACTACGATAGCAGCTGTCTACAGACTAAAGCGTGGCTGCTTGCGATTATTATGCAGGAACCAGGTTAAGGCAAAACCTCCTGGTGTCCTGAATTATACTCTACTGTAGATCTACCGCTGTATCACCGCCCAGTTCCAGATTCAAAAGCGGGGCTTCATATGCACCGAAGCATCGGAAACCAGTAAGAGGTTCGTCCGCGGCCAGAAGCGAGGACGGCATCCTCTCTGTTTGCATCTAACTTCGAGAGTCTGGAACAGCCATTGTATTAGGCTCGCAGTCAACCTGTGAACCAAGGCAGCACTTCATCCTCAGCGGCGAAAGGGATCCGCCTCATCTCTTAAGCTTGACAACAAGTCACGTACACGGCAATCATGTCAGAGTTTTCCTGGATGATACACTTGGTAGATGTCTTTCCCCTGTACTGCTGGATATCTTCGGACGTAAGGATAGAATAACGGCAAGCCTTTGATATACAAGTCCAATATTGGAAGTCACGCCCTCGAATCTATGATTTCGTCTGTCAGCGGAACTCCCTCGTAGTATCTCTGGCAGCGGCTCCAACGTTGGCCGCAACTTTCGAGGTCGCTTGCAAGAAGCTGGAAGCAGTTAGTGAGTCAAGTGTCCAAGCTTGATCCCTCTGCAGGAACTCAACGGTCTATCTTAAAAACGATCTGAGGTTCCTGAACGATGTTGTACGTCAAAAGATTGGACATCCTCGCCAACGAAGTCCTAGCTGCTCTGAACAGGAATGGATTGGCCTGCCTGAATCGCTCAAGAATCATGGCTGCTGTCTTCTTCTCACTGCATCCGACGAGCTTCCAACGTGCGATAAACGGCTCCTGAAATCATACTGGAGGTATGCAACAAAGCTCAGCATTTCAATTTTGTTGAAACGGAGCTCTCTGCAGCTTTGAGGGCTTTTGCATGCCTCTGACTGGTCGAAGTTTTGTAGACGCGTTGCCGTTTGCTCCACCTGGCGTGAATCTTTCCTGTCAAGAACGACATTGTTTGATAAGCAGGAGATGATGACACACTTTCTGAGCCAAACTTTTGCCTGCATTGCTTGCTCAATCTCTCTTCAACGCACAAAGTGGACGAAGTGCAAGCGTGTCTGGCTGACTGACAGAAGATGAAGCGCTGGATTTCCTCTTTCAAGAGAGGGGGAATCGACCTAGAGACTCAGAAGAAGCATGTTAGTCAAAGCAACTTGCATAGGCACCTCAACATGAGGCTGCTCTTGGCCCTCACGATTGGCAACAGGTCCTCGAGGTAAACTATTTTAGAGCGCCCTCCATCTTGTGACAAAAGCTTTTTTCAAGAGCAAACGAGGGCGCTACTTTGGTCTTTCTCAAGATGCTGCCGACTCCTTCCGACAAGCCTGGCTCCCAAACTGACGAGACTCATGATGCTGCAACAGTGGCTTCTATTATCGACGCTTACTACGGGCCCCATGCAAGGTCGGAGGATGCGAGAACCCTGAACTTCCTGAATGATCAAGGTAGGACCTGCGCTCACTGCATTTCAACAATTGAAAATGAATGCCTAACCTCTACTGGAATTGAGGTTTCTGTGACTGGCATTTTTGCAGCAGATTTGCTTCCCCCAAACAGAGTAGGATAGCTTAAAGCAGCGGATGGTGCAAAAGTTTACTCTTTTGTTCACGATATGGTAGCCAGACTGTCTCTGAAGGGCCACCTTTTACATTCATTAGAATATTCATGGCGGGGAGTGACGTGCTTGCGCGTGATTCCAAAGAAAAGCCAAAGCTTCATAAAGGTAGCAGCTCCTGTGACTCGAGCGAGTCTTCATCTTGCAGCAACATAGCGAGCCTTCCTCACCGGCATTCCGTTGAGTCCCAATCAGCCTTTGTATCAGAATTCCCTTCATCTCCAAAGACCGCTGCAGTGCTTCCCTCTACTTCCGTGCTTGCTAGTACAGGCCCTGATGGACGTCGGCCCAACACGGATGCGTCTCACCCCGGCAGCTCCGGCCCTGCATCCACTCCTCCCACGGCCGGGAGCAGCGACCTTACCCAGCAGGGGTCCTTTCTCCACCGGGAGAAGGGCCCAATCTCGCCTGCTGTTGCCGTTAGGAGTTCTCCCGGAGAGGAAGAGGGTATTACCAAGAAGAATGAGTCCCTCAAAGCTGCGGTTGGGGGTATTCACAGTCCCTTGGCTCGTGGCTCTGCGGCTTTTGAAGGAGGGCCTGGTTCTGGGGAGGTGGCGGGCGAGGTGCGAGAGCAGGCAGCTCTTCGAAGCCTCCTGGCAGAGTTCCAAGGCTCTCCGGCAGACCTTCTCGCCCTTATGCAAAGAGACGAGGAAGCAGAAGAAGCCGAAATTGAGGAAGGGGGTTCGGGACTGAGGAGGGTAACCTCAAGTGGAAGCGGAGGAGCGGCTCGGATGTTTGATGTGGAGCCATTATTCAGCGGTGGAATGATGGAAGCTCTCTTGGGAAGAATGGAGGAGCAGAGGGCTGACGAGGACGTTTCCTCGCCTGCAAAGAAGATGATTCTCAGGAACAGCAGCCTTCAAGTTGGAAAGTGAGTGCAACTTCTTTACCACCACTTTGACACCCTTCAACTTCGCCTGAATTGAATCTTGAGCTGGATTTATTGGTAGGAAACATCCAAAAAGTATTTTCTCGTCAGTGAGGTTTATGTATCTCTTTTTCCGTCAGAGACGAACCAACGGAGCAAAAGAAAGCCATTGATAACGTTTGAAAGTGGTGGTAAGCGGTGTTTGGTTCCAACGGCTTTCTCAGGTTTCATGTTAAACTCTGAGTTGACAACAGTAATTCTTTGTCTTATTTGGTATTATTGCCATGCGAGGACATTCGATCACTGGCAGGAGTGAAGACCTGCTCGTGTTCTTGTCGTCGCGAAAAACGCTCTGATTAGGCAATCCCCATCTGCAGGGTCCTGTCCCCCGGATCGGAAGGACAAAGCAGGATCTCCCATGATGACCCTATGAAGACTTTGAGCACGACGCCTTTCCCTCTTCGACGAAGCGAAGAGAAGCCGCCAAATGAGAAGGGCGGCATCGAGCAGCAGCTCGTCACGGAAGAGCCGGCGCAGAGAGGTTCGCAGTTCTGCAAGGCACTCTTGTCCTTTCAGTATCTTCATCTTGATGAGTTGGACTACTGTTTCGCAAGCCCAGTATTTCAGACCTTTCCAAGCTTTGAGTAAACATCACCTGCAGGTTTTTTAACCTACTGTTTCTTCGTGCTTCTCGAGTTGATCTTCCGTTTGCATTTTCTTCTTTTACCCTTGAACTGCATGTGCAGATCCTGTCGTGGCTGACACGATATCTCTCAGCGGCGGGACGAAGAGGAGGCGTCTCAGCGAGCGCAAGAGGCCAGAGAACAGCACGAGCAGGTTTCGGGGCGTCACACACCACATCAGAACGGGGCGCTGGGAGAGCCACATCTGGAGAGTGCACCCCTGATCCCATCCTTCTGTGCATTTAGCGTGCTGTACCTTTGCAGCAAGTGAGACCAGGTTTATTGCTGAGAATCAAATAATCATTTGTGTCAGACCCTAGATGGTATCCGATGCTCAAAGTCCTACTTGTACCATGGAAGAAGAAGCCAAGCTCTGAAAAGCCTTCTTGATGCAGGGAGAACGGCAAGCAGCTGTATCTTGGAGGCTTTGATTCTGGTAAGTGACCGTCTGCAAGTTCGCTGCAACTTTGTCTTTCTACATTTGAGTCTACATTTGAGTCACATCCTCTCTGGCATGAAGTAAATTGTCAAGTCTTCCGAAGTTTCTCAAAAAAAAGAGAAGGGAGGCTGGGTCCGATGATGTTGGAACGGAGGACAAACAACTTTTACACGCTGGATTGAGCCAATCGTATGCTGTTGCAGAGGAGCAGGCTGCCCTGGCCTACGACATAGCAGCTATCAAATGCAGGTGAGTCAACTGAGCGCGTCTTCCGTATCATAGAGATCAGTGAAAAGAGTCATGTTATTGGATTGTTCGCCCTCGACACCTGATCGGTAGCTTTGAACGTCTTAGCTGTTTGCATCTTTTGAGTCTCATTCGATCTTTGTCTTTCTTTCAGAGGCGCGAGCGCACAGACAAACCTTGCGCTAGAAAACTACCGGGCTCACTTCGACGATATATGTAAGTCGGATGCTGACTCCGTTCTCGAGTTCGCACACGTCGAAAGCTGTTCAGACATCACAGACATGTTCTGCATCAGCAAATTGTGTTTAATCGGAGCCTAAAGGATGACTGCTGCTCAGTGCTGTATGATCCACCCGCAAGAGTATCCAAGGGTATTCATTTGGTGTTTTTATCCTGCAGCTGCGGTGTCGAAGGATGAGCTTGTCATGTCGCTTCGAAGGCACAGCAAGGGCTTCAGCCGCGGCTCCTCCAAATTTAGAGGAGTGACCAGACACCAGAAGGTACAAGCCCGATCTCCCTGAGAATGGCGCTATTTGTTATGAAAGTGTTGTGATTGTCAAGCTGCAAGACACAGAGACCTTTGTTTCTGCCAGTCTACATTTTCGAAGCTTTCTTAAGGTAGGGAACGCTGCACTGACAGAATTCGATGTTCGAGAACAGGCTTTCCCTCAGCATTGACCCCGTGTCTTTCTTGTGCGTCTATAGGGACGGTGGGA